ACACACACACACACACGCACACACACACACACACACACACACAATCTCTCTCTCTCTCTCTCTCTCTCTCTCACACACACACACACACGCGTCAGTGCCGGTAAGGTTTAGTGTGCGACTGTTTCTTACCGGACATGAGTTTATCGTACAGCTTCGGTGCCGGTCCGGTTCTGTACCGGATCAGATTAGCGATACCGGGCCGGACGGAACCTTTTCCGGCGGAAACCGGCGACTCGGGAACTTCCGGGGTCAGTGATAATAGGGAATCCCGACCACGTGACAGCAGCCGCGGCGTGAGCGCGACTCGTGAATATTAATTCGCTGTCGTGACTGCGCTGAAACAAACAAGTTAAGCTCATTAATATTCATAAACGCAGCTTTTGCCGTAGGATTCCAGCTGAAAGGCCAGCGAGCAACGTCAGCATGGCGTCATTAATATTAAGTATTCATAAATTCGGATTGGTCGAGGCTCTCAGAGGCGTGTCCTTTTCTTACAGCGCCACCTGGTGACCAACTTTAACTAACTTTTAGTCATAATGACGAGCGTTCAACTACTTTAAATGTTGCTTTATTATTTTCCTAATTTTCTTCAACATCTGTAAAAATGGTTTTAGTATTTTTATTCAATTTGTCGTGTGAAAATACAAAGCAAATAAAATTTTTGTCACTAAAAATTAAATTCAAAGGAAAAAAATTTAATATATTTTGAATAAATATTATATTTCGTCCATTTTATTTTAAACTACTTATTTTAATTGTTAAAATAATCTGTATTCTGTGAAAATACAAAGCTTCAGTTTTTGTCACACACTTAAAATATTATTTTAATTGGTTAAACTACTTTGACTTATTTTGAACAATTTCTCATTGTAAGCTAGTTTGCCACACATTAAAAATAAAATTCAAAAAGGAAACAAAATATTTTGTATTATTTTATCTTTTTTATTGATCAAAAGTGACAGAAAGGATATTTCAAATGTTACAAAACATTCTATTTTACTTCAAATATTTCTTTATTATTAAAAAGATTTATAGGAAATAAAGTTTCCTTTATGACATCTAAGAAAATGGTTTTAGTATTTTTATTCAATATCTCATGTGAAAATACAAAGCTAAAATTTGTCTAAAAATAAAATTCAAAAGGAAAAAATGTAATATATTTTGAATATTATATTTCATCCATTTTATTTTAAACGACTTTTTTTAATTGTTAAAATTGCTCTATTATCTTGACATTTTTTTAAAACAATTTCTCATTGTATGCCGACACAAAACATTCTATTTTACTTCAAATATTTCTTTATTATTAAAAAGATTTATAGGAAATAAAGTTTCCTTTATGACATCTAAGAAAATGGTTTTAGTATTTTTATTCAATATCTCATGTGAAAATACAAAGCTAAAATTTGTCTAAAAATAAAATTCAAAAGGAAAAAATTTTATTCATTTTATTTTAAACGACTTTTTTTAATTGTTAAAATTGCTCTATTATCTTGACATATTTTTTTAAAACAATTTCTCATTGTATGCCGACAATACAAAGCTAGTTTGTCACACTAAAAATAAAATTCAAAAGAAAAAAATAATATATATTTTGTATTATGTTTTATATTTTATTTTGTGACAGTGAAAGTGACATTAACAACATTTAACATGTTAAAAGATTTATATTTTACTTCAAATATTGCATTATTATAAAAATGTGTAGTAAACCAATTTTCCTTCACGATAACATCTGAAAACATTGTTTTGGTAGATGTGTGATTGTGCTACAATGTTCCTGATGCACTACATGAACAAACCCAGAGATTAATTAATATCACTAATGCAAAATACTGGCTTCTGAATATCAATTAGCTCACACTGACTACTGTGTTACTGAATATAACGTCATAAGAATAATATTTACAGGAATTACTGCAAGCCAAGCAAAATTAACTGGTTTGACCACAATTCTTTTATTTTTTGTATCTCAACCTTTCACAGAATAAGTAACAAAAACGAGCAAAACTGTTTAGCGGGATGATAAAATGAGGAGAAGAAACGTCTCGGTTACACCGATGAAGCCGTCTTGCGGTCCGAGAGAAAGACAGCGGAGGGAGGACGAGGTGCTTTAAATATCGTAGAGGCGTGTCGGAGGCCTAAGCGTCGTAGCTGGGGTTTTTGCGCAGGATGACGAAGCCCTCCAGGATGGCTGTGACGGGGATGTACTCCTCTGTGGCCAGCTCCGCTCTCTCACCGTGAGCCAGCAGCACCGGTGTGGTGTGAGTCTGGAAGCCTGTGATGGCTTTGGGTTTCCCGGCCTGACCCACCACATCTACAGCCTGCAAACACACACACACAAATAGCCCATCAGTTAAAGGCACAATTTCGCCACTAGAGGGCGCGTATTCAAAACAAACAAAGATACAAAGGCTTAGTTTGATGAGGCAGTGACTGAGTGAGGAATCATGGGAGTTGTAGTCTTCATCTTCACAGCCGATGCAATCCGACGGGACTCGGGCAGAAATCATGTTCATGGATGAGCTAATGATTTATTTGAGTGAGGAATCATGGGAGTTGTAGTCTTCATCTTCACAGCCGATGCAATCCGACGGGACTCGGGCAGAAATCATGTTCACGGATGAGCTAATGATTTATTAATAGTGGTCGACCGATATTGTTTTTTTTGACAGCCGATACCGATGCCGATATCTGGGAAAGCAGGGTAGCCGATATAATTTTATTTATTTTAATTCATATTTAAGAAATTTGAAATCATTTGAAAATGGATTAAAAAATAAACGTGTAAAATAAACATACTTATACTCTAGAAGACAAAGTATTTTTCACAAATAAATAAATATTTAATAAAAACAATTAAAAAGGAAGTAAACACTGTAACCAACAGGGCACTCAGTATTCTGGGAAGTTTGTGTGCACTGGGAATCATATTTTTTCAAATAAACCCAAGGTAACACTCATTTTACATACAGCACACAGTGAAAATGACATGAATATGACAGTGGGTAAATGCATAAAGCGCAGCATAATTTGAAATCACGAGTTTAAAGTTTAAAGATCGCGTGTCTCCAGTGAAGCTGAACTCTCCTCCTGTC